CTATTCGGGTAACAATTGGTATCTCTATCGTGTTAGTTTTCGAGAATGGAAATTTCAGATATATGATTGTAGCCATAATGTTCATATCACACAAGAGGTCATGAGTGATGCACATGCAACATTAAGTATGATCCATATATTATTGCTATCACAACTTTCTGTCAGCCCAGTTATAAAGAAACATCGAAACAAACAACTGGAAGTGGAGATTATACCCTATTTACCTTGTGCAAATAAAGGGTAAATTATTATTTACTTATTTTCCATCTTATTTTCATTTTATAGCTAATTTTTTCTCATGACAAATTTATTCTTCTTTCATAGGCCAAATTGTGGAGTTTTTTTACTCAAATACATAGAATGCTTCATTTTTGGATTTCCTATTGAATTCGTTTCCCCAGGCAAAATGATTGTATACAGACGAAAAATGGTATTGGACATTTGCAGCAATCAGTACTTTCTGTGCGCATCTCAACGTGAATGTTCCAACTTAGATTCAATTGGAAAAACTGCCAATTTACAATATCATTCCTCAGCAGTGATACTCATCCATCAATTGCTAATATCAAGTAATGTTGTACATTTTATATTTCTGAATTTATTAACAATATATATTCTTCACTGTAGTCAATTTCTATATAGGTTGTTACTTATTCATCCCGGTTGAATAGGCTGAAGTTTTCCAACAGCTTGACTAGATCTTCTTCTAAGGTCTTACATCTTTGAGCTTTTATTTCTTTAGTTATTTGATTTTCATTTTATACATTTCAATATGTATTTATGAGCTTTTTCATTCATGTTGATTGTTGTTGGTTGTGATTGATCACTAATGAATGGAGGTGGATGATGATTTTAGGAAATCCTAGGTTTTTTATGAATGCATTCAATAGAAAGATTTAAGTATTTCATGTGTTGGAAACTAAGAATAACGGAATCTGATTAGATAAAAATTATGAGCCCTTAGAAGGCGAAATTCGATACCTTTCTTTCGCGTAAGGGATAAATGTCAATTATTTATAGTTAATCTGAGTCTGTTAGATTAGTTCACTAAATTTTTGTAGCTGGATAAAATATATCTTAAAAGTTTCTTTTGGTGTCTAATAAGATATAGAAACAGGAACACAATCGATCCTTTTACAGAACAAACATATGCAATTTTGGCTCATGATTTTTTTTTTTTAAAAACCTACTACACTTATTGAAACTTTGAAACAATCATGACTAATCTGTATCGTTTGTGTTTTATGAGAATTTGTCCAGCAAGGCAAGGCCAAAACCTAGAAGCCCCTCGCGAGGTTCATCTCATGAAGATGATCTTGGGCAGCGCCTTGAGGCTAAGCTTCAAGCTGTTGAAGAGAAAAGGTAAACTCTTCTTCTTTTGATAATTTAAGCCAATTGATAGCTGAAATTTGCTAATGCACTAGATATCATGCATATGAACCAGTTGGGATTTCATAGAGCTCACAAACTAATCTATCTCGTCCTTTAGTAGTTGAATCTTCATAATTTTTGGCATGGTCATTTTTTCACGACTTTCTTTGTCAAGTATGTTTCATGAAAAGGCATCTTGGGAAGCATTTAGTTTATAATGTATTTTGTTTGTCTGAATTACTCTGTTATGCTACTGCCAGTCGAGAGAAGTAAACCATACTTATAAAAAAGGCTAATTCTCTTTGAGCATTTGAAAATTTTGGTATATTAACATCTGTCTTTGTCTCTGTCTTTCTCTTTATCCCAAGCTAATTTCTCTGTTTTATTTGGTATGTAAATGTCATAAGAGTTACTCCATGGTCAAGTAAATCATAAATGTGATATAGTTTATCCGATTAGCTCTAATCCAAAAAGACCTCATCATCAACTAGAGTATTCCCTTTTATGTTTTCATAATTTTCCTTAATGTGACATGTCTGACCCTAAGATAATAAGCACCTAGATGTAATGTCCTGCCCTAAAACGTGGCTTAAATAAATATTCACTGTCTTTAGGAACTTCAAATACAAATGATTGTGTAGGCATATATTTTTTCAGTTCTTTGAATTAACAAGTTGAGCATTCTGACAAATACACACATGCGCCTTGCTAAGCTTGATGAATTGCGGCAAACTGCTAAAATAGAAGCTGAAATGCGCTTCAAAAAGGAATGCACTGAGTTGGGTAAAAAGGTTGAAATGCGGGTTCAGCAGGCAGAGGCCAATAGAATGCTTATCCTTAAGGCTTATAAGCAAAGAAGAGCCTCACTAAAGGAGAGAACGTCTCAATCATTGCTTCAAAGGATGACCCGGGAGAAAAAATATAAGGAACGAGTGTGCACTGCAATATACGAAAAGCGTGCAGCTGCTGAGAACTGGACTATACATTGTACTGAACCACATTTTAGCTTCTATTTCACTGTTGAGACCATATGCAATATTGTCTGGTTCACCTTACCAAAGACACATTAGTGTTTGTCTGTTGCAACAAGTTCTGCCGTTTTGTTTTGCATCTAAAACTAAAAATATGGTACCTCTATGCGCAGCATCCATGTCAGGCAGGACAATCAGCTCCAAAATAATGATCTCGAGGAAAATAAAACTCCAACAGCAGCAGTAAGAATGGAAGCTACTAAGTAATTTTTGACCAACTTATGAATTGCTGATTCACTTTTGCTTCTCCGTATTTAAATTTTATACAGCTAGATTAGCTAAATCACTCGCCATCTATTTATGTTTCCCATTCAATTAGGTATTTTCTCAACTCTATGCTGTAAATGATGTAGGCTTTCCTTGGAGCATGATTTCATTGTCATTAACTCCCTTTTATCTTTTGGTATGTTGCACTGGCAGTACATGATTATTGTAGCAAAAGAAGTTAAAATCACATCTACTATTACACAGTATTATATAGTCTGGTTCAATATTCCCAGCATGCTCTTTAGCTGTCTGCGATATATCTTGTTATAGAAATTTTTGCTTTACATGGGTTATGTTCAACCAATATCTTGCTACTCAACAAGTTAAAAACAATCTGCTATATGCTGCTGACAATCAGCTTACTAAAATTGCAAAAGATGCAAAGGTGACGAAGGATCCTATTTGCTCTAAAATCTTCAGTTCTGCATTGGCTACCATATTTGGTTAGGCTGAGAAAAGATTTCTGGCATATCATGAAACTTTTGATAGTGGAAAAACTGAATCTACTGCATTGAAAATTCATTTCTTGGGAAGAATTTATGAATACTTGCTATAAGCAATCTAATGAATCAAAGAAAAAGGTGAAACTTGATTGTAGAAATTCATTTCACTTAGCTTGCTTGCCTATGGTAATAGCTCACTTGGCTACTTGCCTGTAGAATTATACAAGTTTAAATGCACCATGTTTTTCAGTTTATATGTCTTTTATGTATTTGTAGAAATTATTCTTTTAGATTCAAGCTAGCCTGGTGAAAGATATGATTTATGGGAGGAAAATAGACATTCCTTAATGAAAGGAATTAAGTGTGAAATTGCATACGATTTTAACTGCCAGAATTCTTGAAATGTATTTTCATTTTCCCACTTTTAAGCAATCGTAGAATGCTGGATGGAAATTACGGAGAAAAGAGCTTCTTGTCCATATCATCTATGATTTGCCCTTCTGCTCAAAGAACTATAATTATTATATGCATATATTCAGCTTAAGCATTGATTTGTAGTTTTATGTATGTAGTCCTCTTGGCTCTTGTATATTCTGTGTTTTTCTCTTGTGCGCTAACCCTTATGAATAATTCTTTGGACGTTCTACAGTTGGTGGTTTGATGAAATGTGAAAATTGGATTAGAGATGATGACAATCGCTCTGAAGAATCAGAGACAACATGGTGGTTAAGTCGATTAATAGGCCGGACATCGAAGTGGATGGATGTTGATTAGGCTTTCGCATTTGCAGAAGACAAGTTATTTGTCCTTACTCTTAGTGCTGGCTTGGAGGGGTACCATGTCAATGTTCACGGAAGACATATCACCTCATTTCCATATCGTCCCGTAAGTTACAATTACTGAATATCTATGGTCTTGTGATATATGGCACTTTGCTCAAGTGTTTATTGAATGTTTTAGGGATTCACACTTGAAGATGCCACTGGATTATCTTTGATGGGAAACATTGATGTCCACTCTGTTTTCGCTCCTTCCCTGCCCACATTACAATGGTAAAAATCTTTCCTTCTATCCAATATATATATTTTCATTATGGTCATCCATTTTTGCTAATTTAGAAAAGAATGAATTTAAGTTGTCCACAAAGGAAATTAAGGCAAGGAGGAAGCTGTGAAAAATCCAATATATATATTTTCATTACGGTCATCCATTTGAGTACCTTTGTCAGTTTTAGTGGACCTTTATCACTGAGAGACTTGTGATTTGTTTTTATGATCATGTTCTTGATATTGGTCATGTAATCCAAATTTGAATAGTTGGTTACCATATCAATTATCAGCTAATTCCTGATTTCTGGCTTGGCAGATGGACCTATAACAATGCTCTTCGGGCCAAGTACAATGCGAAAATGGCTGGAATGACTGCACCCATAGCCAAACCTAAAGGAAGCAAAAAACTGAAGGATTAGAAGATGCGTCCAAATTTTTGACTTGGAAAGGGTCAAGCTAATGGACAGAGAAGCAGACATTAGTAGAAGAATCCTCATTTCCAGTTTAGACTTTTAATGCCTGTTGCATTTATGCAACTGTAACCATATACTGCATTTCATAGATATACTATATGTACGGATGGTTATTGACATATCTAAGTTGTAATTTCCTAGAATGAATTTTAGTCATACAGTTTTGTACAAATACCGATTACATCTGAGTGTTGTTAGAATTTATTATTGCAAATGGTTTGTGTGTGTCGGCTAAACAGATATAATCTATTGACATGTAAATTAGATGAAATTTATAATCTTTTTATGGATGAGTCCTGTATATAACATGTAGGGAAAAAAAGTAAAGCCAATAACTGAATCTTGGCTTTCATTTATAATCTTTCTATGGATGAGTCTTGCTGTGAGATTAGAGCTGCATTGACTGAAGAAGTTGAGGTGCTCCATGGTATGGTTTAACAGGAAGCTTTCTGTAAACCCGCTGAAATAATTAGTTTTTCAATCATGGCAATGAGTACAATACTGCAATTGCTGCTCGAATTAACTGGATGCTTTCTGTAAAACCGCTGAAATATTTAGTTTTTCAATCATGGCAATGAGTACAATTCTGCCATTGCTGCTCGAGTACACTAATGCTACTGCTTACTTAAAATCTCGATGTGCTTCTGTCTCAAAGAACATAAACTCTAATGAAAGTTGACTTTACAATATGATGCTCAAGTGGCTGATAAAGCTTAAAAGGAAGGGTCAGCTTCCATGGCTGCAAGAAACTTGATGTGGCTGTCAACTCCTTCAATGTCACTCTCTCCAAGTGCCCACCTGATAGGACGTCTGCTGTTGCTAAGGTTCAGTCTCTTATTTCTTACATCCCAACAGCTTCACAAGTCATCCAATTGATTCAATTAGTACATCTAAGACTCCTTTCATGTGGTGTGGAGTCTTGGATGTACTGATGGCTTTTCGTCATACTACCATCATTATTCTTTTCTTCTCTTATTCCGTGTTCTTCAGAATTTTTCTGTCACTATTTTTGTGGTGGTGTTTTTTAAGTGAAAGAGGAACTTTCTTTCATTACACTAGAAAATGATTTGTCATTCACATAATTGCAGCTTTGGTAGTTCAATACTTTCTTTGAAGTACTGGAAAACATGAAGCTAAAGTTATCTAACTACAAGATAGCAACCACAGAATCGTAGGGATAAATAATCTTCAAGATGTCATTGTTCACCTCTTTGTCCAATTGAGTTTAGGGTCATGATGTCGTCTCCGTTTTTTACAGTTGAGTGCTTGGGTGCCTTGGACTTGAGTGCCTCTTCTTCTAGGGATTTTCATGGTGTGAAATAGGACATTCTACTTCAACAACAATTTAAACATTTGACCGTGTAAGAACACGATTATAGTAGACGAAGTTCGTAAAAGAATAGAATTCCATTCATATATACATTTATGATTTCAATTTTTCAATGAATACAAGCAAAATTGTACAAATAAGGGAAAAATAACAAGCAAGAAGATAGCAAGAGAATGGATAATCATCATGAAGTTGCTCATTCATTCAATATTTCCAAGATTTCACCTCAACGAAGTCTAGAACATAAAAATAAAATTATGATAATGATAACGTGCTTAGCCAATCGAACCAACAAATCATTATTCTGAACAGAAAAACCATTAAACAAGCTCGAAACCCAAGTTACAGGAAGTTCAGAAGAAATATTGCAGCATCAGGAACTTCAACTTGTCAAGTTTGCTGGGTGTCCTTATTATACCTACTTAAACAGAGTTTCAGTAAACATGTAGCAGAAAATCACAAGAACCAAACTGGCTAGCAGAAGTATACTTGCTGGAAACTTCAATGGTTCTGAAATTCTTCCACAAGTCAAAAACATGGAAAACAAAATCTGTTTTTAGCTGTCTATCCAATTCTATGCTCTCTGCTTAACGTAAGAACCAGTGTTGGAGTTTTGATTGAAAGAGTAGAAATTACCGGATTCACAATATGCTAACCAGTTTTAACAATCCTTACCATTTTGTATAACTCACCAGTTTGACAATGAAATTACCGGATATGCAAGGTGCTAACCGTTTATGCAAGATGCTCACCCGATTTGTAAGCAATACTCTGTTTTTATTGAGAAAACAGAGGACTCACCGTATGTGCAAAACGCTCACAGTATATGCAATCAGCTCACCGTATTCACTTAATGCTTACCGGGATTTACACTACTAGACCTTGTTTTTTGTAAAGAAGAAAAATGCTCTGTTTTTCAAGATGAACAATAGAGAAGAAGGAAGCTACGTTTTTTCATTGATAACTGAATATATAACATTACAAAATACATGTTTTTCAACAACTTCCTATCAACTTCAATCTATCAAATCTACCACAAAATATAAGCCATACTTGGACAAATTACAAGATTTAAACTAAAGTACATAAATCTCATGACTTGATATATAAAACCCAGCCACCTTAAAACAAGGAATGTCACAGCCAAAATGTCATGCTAGCTCAACAACCAGAAATTCCAGAAGTCCCAAGGACCGTAACCTGCAATAAGCAAACTGATGATGAGGAAAATAGGAACAAACATACGTTTAAATTAGTTGCAGGATTTCAATGAGTTTGTGAAAAACAGGAAAATCATATTGAAAATTTGTTTTAATTAGTTTTAATCTGATCTGATCTGATCAAAATTCAAATATGAAATAAATAATAACTTAAATAACAACATTTTCGAAAGACAAAATCACAAATGATCTTTCCTTCAATGACTAATTCACCTGACAAAATAAACTTCACATCACAAGTTCTTCTAAACTTCTCATCAGAAGTCAAAAGATTAGGACTCAAATTCCATTCATTGGAGTGAGAGAAGAACAACAAAAACTACATTAGCTTTCACAAGAAAGTATATCTTATTAATCCCCCATTGAACTGGTAAAAAGATAGAAAATTTTTAGAATTTTTGGGCCTAAGAGAAAGATTCTTGAACGAGCATATAAGGATAGTTTTATTTCATCTCATGTCGGGGGCTCGAAAGGAAAGATCAGCAAATGTTGCTGACTCTCAACCTAAGCATGCTGGATGCAACACATTGACGTTAAAAAAGGAGCAAAGACTCATGTCAAAGACTTTGACGACGGTGGAGGAGTCAATAAAGGACAAAGGGATCCGATTAGATAAGAATAGACTGATTGTTGTCACAAAATTATCTAATCCAATACATTCTCTTAGTATTCCTTCAGTAAACATGAGTTGGTGGTCCATTCAAATTTGTCACTCAGTGCTTCATGTTCGTCTAATGTCTCTGCTGATTCGTTTCGTAGTCGAGCCTCAACTGGTAGAATGTACAGAACAAGTAGCACATCTGGTTCGAACAAGCATTTGGATTCAAAGACAAAAATTGTTGTCCGAAATGGCATCCCAGAATCTCTACCTAATACTTACAGGCTAAAAGAAGTTGTACTTACGTCACAGCTAATACTGGTAAGTTTCATTTTGTATAACTCTAGACTGGTATAATGGTTTTTCTTGGCATATTTCAAATCAATTTTATGTCTGTTTTGTTCTAATTTGATGAGTTACCATGTATTTGTTTTAAGATTTTGTATATGATTCTAGCCATATTAGTGTTCTTTAAATGTTTTCTTGTACTCAATGTACTCAAAATAATTGCTCACTACTCAGGTAGCAACTTACTGAAATAAGTTTTTACCACTTACTCTACAATACATGTCATGCACAAAGTAGTATTGATCTTGAGAACTATAATGCATGTCCAAGTAAAAGTTTTCCGACTTGACGTAATGAAGCAATACAATGGAGTTTATAAATTTTAATTAGTCTTGAGTCAAACAATCACCTCCATGGAAAAAAACATTTTTTTTGGTAATTTAGAACTTTACGGATAATTATTGATGTTTTATTGTTACCATATATTACTTCAACGTCATAAATATTTTGTGACTAAATACTCATATGCTATTATTTAACAGGATGCTGCATCNTGTGACAAAAATACTCATATGCTATTATTTAGCGGGATGCTGCATACAAAGGCATGCATGGGATTCCTGAGGTATTTGTTGGAGGTGAATTCCCCGCAGAGCAATGGAAAGAATTTAGATGTCAATAGCGATCATTTAGCAACCCAAAGACTGAAGTCTGGCATGGAGCAGTTGCATGAAAAGGTATTTCTTCCTATCAAATCATAAAATTAACAATACCACATTGTGACGCTAAAATTGCTAAGGATCCGTCCAATATTATTCTTGTCTTTTGCCTGCAGCTGGAAACGGCGAAAACCAGAAATATTCACTTTCTCAAAGATCATGATTTTGATTTTCAAGTTCCACAAGAAAAACTTGTGCAATTACACAAGGTAAACTTTCTGTTTTATGAAATTTATGGCTTGACTCGGCCTTTTTTTTCCTTTACTTTTCATTTAGTATTTTAAGTTACGAATATTCGTTTTAAGCGATTTAAAAATTTGTTGTTGATGTCAAAAATAATTTTACATTCATTGTGAAACAAAAAGTCGTGATTAAATTGTTTTTTGATGATTTTTATGATTTTAAAACACACAAGTAAATTCACTGCACTTCGATAACTCATTTGATTTCATCTACACAAACGTTTTAATTTGTTAATCTTACTTTGTCGGTATAGTTTGACATACGTGATTACGAAGCTAGGACTTCTCTTTGTCTATGATTTGGAAACTGCCACAGTACTATACACAAATAGCGTTA